AACATGACAGGGATCCTGCTGAGTCTGGCTCACATGAAAATTTAGAAATCCTGAGGACTCAACAACTTTATGCTTATTTATCTGATGCAAAGTGCCGAGCTGCTGTTCAGCTTTTATTGATCCAGGTAGATTTATTTTTATTCCTCCAAACATTGTTAAAAGGCCTTATAGAAAGAATATGCTAAAAAAACATTTCCCAATAGTAAGAAGTATGACGAAACCATAATAAATGTTTCCCTTAAAGATGCTTTTCTTAGTATATTCACGGAAATTCCACTGCACATTATATTTACCATTATAGATTACTATTTTAGCATTACTAGTTCTCTGAAAAATAATGTCAACTCACTGAATTTGGCAGGCGGTTCTGGAGATCTATAACATGTACCGTTCTCAACTTACAGCAAAAACCATACTACTATTGTTTGAGGCTTTGCATGATGTGGCATTACATGCACACAAGATTAACAGCAATATCATTTTACGTTCAAAGTTACTCGAGTTTGGCTCTGTGACCCAAATGCAAGACCCTCCACTGCTACGCCTGGAGAATGAGTCCTACCAAATATGCCTCACATTTTTACAGAACCTTGTTGTGGACAAGCCTCCTAGTTACGATGAGGTTGAGGTCGAGACACGTCTTGTTCAGCTCTGTCAGGAGGTCTTGGAGTTTTATGTTGAAGTTGCAGGTTCTGGAAGAATATCTGAATCTTCTCAAGGTAGACAGCAACATTGGTTAATTCCTCTAGGCACTGGGAAGCGAAGAGAATTGGCTGCACGTGCGCCAATTGTTGTGGCTACACTTCAGGCTATTACTAATTTGGGAGATATATCTTTTGAGAAGAATCTGGCTCATTTTTTCCCTCTCCTCTCAAACTTGATAAGTTGCGAACATGGGTCAATTGAAGTTCAGGTAGCTCTCAGCGACATGCTTAGTTTATCAGTTGGTCCTCTTTTGCTACGATCATGTTGATTACATGGGGTAAGATTGACCCTGAATTTTGATATAGGATATTCTTCTCTAAATCTTTTTGTTCATATTTCCCTCCTTTCCTTTGCACTGGGTTACAAAATTATAGTTCCATTGTGTTTAGATTGAGTTCTATATTTTGTAGCCTAGGGTTGGTTACTAATTAGAATTGATCTACCAGGAGGTTTAATGTTGTATCTTGTATGTTTAATCATTTTATCCCCATTTTTTAAAAGAATGAGTTTTTCCACTTATAATTTCGTTTGTCAAGTTTGATAATTTTCTTGGTATATGGTAATTAATTTTCGAGTTGGGGTGAATGCGCGAGTTTTATTGGTGAAGTTGCTATTAACGAGCACCTGTAATTGGGATTTCAGCGTAGATTATTAAACATTGTTGGTGTGTGAAAAGGGAACCTGGCTGATAATTTTAATTTCATATCTAATCATAGAGAATACTAAAATGATTAATATAGAATCATATAAGTTTGTTACAGAGCAGACTATTATACATGAATTAACATGGGTTAATATTTCCCAAAAAAAAATGGGGTTGCAGGATTAGCTTGTGAGTTGAAGAAAAAAAAATTCATCACAAACTATAATGTTTTTTTTAATAAATATTTGCTTATTATAAATTTAATTAAATAATAAATATTTACAGTATATTGAATACCACTCTTTAAAATATTAGTTAATAAATATATGTTTTAAATATATTTAAATTATCTCGAATTAGGTCGATTTTCATATTACTATTTTTTAAATTTTTTTTGTTTAAATTACCTGACTAAGATTTTTTTTTCAAATTAGTACTTGACGTTAGTTTTTTCTATTAAATGATGACGTGGCAAACAGACTATCACGTCATCGCCCAACATTGTATGTCATGTCAGCACACAATAGTCACCTCATTCTCCATGTTTGAGACTTAATAAGAAATTGAAAGAGGGGTCTGGGAACAAATTGAAAAAATCTTAAAAGAAGAAGAACTCTCTCGTGGGTGAAGAAAAACTCTCTCGTGGGTTAAGAAACTGAAAGAGGGGTCTGAGTACGTTTGACTCGACCAAATTGAGGAACTTCTATATCAAATTCATCATCTAATCCAGCAGCCCTCTCCTCCTCTAAATCATCCAACCGAATATCCCTCACAGAGTCATCATCATTGTTACAGAAATTGTCCCCAACAACACCTTCATTGCCACCATCACAAACTGCAAACATTTTTACTTCCACATTGTTAGTAATTGCAAAGTTTGTCATGTCTAATGCAACACTATAACAATTAATCTCTTTGAAATCAGAAGGACCAAATTTCCACCACAGCGTAATAGAATGTTCTCCATATGCCAAGTCTTCTTTTACAATTCCCACGGCTTCAAAATAGGACTACCTATCCATATCCATATTCTTCACATGCACTGGCTTGCTGCCTCCAACATAATGCATCACGGGGTCTAACTCAAAACGATCCCCGTGATAAAGTTTCAAATTGAAACCCATTAACACAACTGCAAAGAAACCAAATCTTTGAGTCAAAAAAACCTTAGCAACAGAACAATTAAAGGCTATCAAATTGTAAATCCTAATAACATAACCAACCACTTACCTTCAACAATGACAACAACTACCTCTATTTATGGCTACAAAATCTCACCTCCACAAATTGTCATCAAAGAACGGTGCTTCAAACTTCTAACCCAAGGAACAAACAACCACATACAATGCGCATTTCCAAATTGAAGGAACACAAAAACGGAGCAGCTTCACAAAAAAGGAGAATGAAAACGAAAATCAAAATGAATTACAACTTCAATATTTTCAAAATCAAAAAGGAACAATTTTCAAACATGAGGTTGAAGATAAATGAGAGAATGGGTTTCTAAGTTCGTAAATTTCCAACATATACACGAAACTAATTTTTTAAAAAATTTACAAATCTGACGTGGCAATTTACGTGGAAAATGAGGTGGTCATTGTGTGCTGACATGGCATATAATGTTGGGCGATGACATGACAGTCCGTTTGCCACATCATCATTTAACAGAGGAAACTAATGTCAGGTACTAATTTGAAGAAAAAAAATTAGTCAGGTAATTTAAACAAAAAAAAAATTAAAAAGTAGTAATCTGAAAATCGACCTAATTCGAAGTAGTTTAAACATATTTAAACCTAAATATATTTATTTACACTTCAATGAATAAGCACGTAGGTGTTGCAAGCAAGGATGGTTAGTTGGTTGCTTGTGAAAATGATTATCAAAGTCAACGATAAAACTTTTAGAATAATGAAAAGGTTATGATTGATAAATTCAAAATATTAATTTTAATTTCGAAGTTCATAAAACCATTCATACAAATCAACCTAACCAATAATTGATAGTGACTTAAGAATAATCACGTTTTAATATGTTAACATTGAATTATGTCATATTAATAGTTAACTAATAATTTAAATAATAACTTAATGGGATACAAATATGAATTTTATCAAAAAAAATTGTGATAAAATATATAAATATAAAAAGTTGAATGACAAAATTCTCAAAGTGTAAATATAAATGACAAAAATCAAATTGAACCTACTTTAAATTAATATAATCAAATTATTCTTAGATACATTATTCAATTAAGTAATACATTTTTTTAATATATTTAAAAATATATTTAATATATTTATTAAATCAATAGTCGATATTATAATTAATTTTAGATTTTATTTTACAAAAAATTAATTTTATTATAAATCTTAATTATTAATTTTATAATCAACAATTAAGAGCGCATTTTATCTTTTAAAATACACTTTCTCACTCTAAAAGAGTGAAATTCATTATAACTAATCCAAATTAATGAACTAAAATATTAATAAGCTAAAAAATGTACTAAATGTATATAAAGCATTTAGGTAAATTATAGTATTACAAAAGTATAATGTTAAAACTAAATTAATAAATTGAAACTAAGAACAATAATAAAAATAATTGTTCATAATGTATTAAAAATTAAAGAAATTATAAAAGAAAATGATATAAATATAATTATTTTATTTATATAAAATAATAAATACATTAATTAAATTATTTTTAAATAAATAATTTAATTATCTTAATTTAAAATATTATTACTTTAATTATCTTAATTAATATTTATATTTTATTAGTCATGTCAACACTAAACACATAATTTAATAATAATGATTTAAAAAGGAACACCAAAAAAAATGTTATGATCTAAAATTAAAAAAATTTCCGGGGACTAAAACTGTAAAACAAATTAGTCATATATAGTATTAACTTTTCAACTTCTACTTTCTGTATAGCAAATGAGAAGAGAAAGACATGAAAATGTGTAAAAATAAAAAATAAATTAGTTGGTGTTGTTAGATAAAAGAGAATGGAATTGAAGTGTGTAAAATTAAATATAGGACCTATAGGGGAAAGAAAAGAAAAGAAAAGAAAAACCTCTCAAATAAGAGAAAAGTAGAAAAATTCTAATGGCTCGAAAAATAAAATGACGTTAACACCCTCTCCATCATCCGTGTTATTCATTCATGCCCTTCGTCTTGTTGCTGAAGTTTTGTGTTTTTTTTTTATTACTTGAAAAGATCTTGAATCAGTACCAGTAAAGTAACTCACGAAGCAAGGTAAGCCAATGGTGGTTTGGCAAATAAACTAATCATCAATTATGCTAACAGCAATTTCTTAGGCATATAATGGATTATGTCATAAACATTATTAGTTATTTACCTCCTTGTGTCTATTTCTGGTTTACATAATCGATTATATGGTAAAAATATAATTGATTGTAAACCTATAATTTAAAAAAAAAATGAAATTGAGTAGTTAAGGGATAAAATCATAATTGAGTTAATTAATAATATAATTTAACTATATTCTTTGATTAGGAAAAAAATTAAAAATATAAATTCCCTTAATGTTTTCCTTTCATTTCTCTCCTCACCTGTTTCTTTTTGCCAAAACAAACGCTAATGAACCCAAATTATAGAAACAACGGACCCAAGCTTTGAAGTTGAGAACGAATACTTTCGTTCAGCCAACAAAAAAATAATTTTCATTAATTACTTACATAAATCAATAAATACAATATTGGGTGTTTAACAAAACATTCTTCTCTCTCTACCCTTCCCATTCTTGTCAGTAATGGCTAGCTAGATGCTAAACCCCTGCTGCTGCTGCTGCTTCTCTGAACCCAAAAATAGCATTCAACAAATGCCACCAGCAATAATTCTCGAGTACCACGTAGTAGTAGATTTGCAATCAATAATCTATACGCAATCGCCGCAATTCAGATTTGAATGTTGATACAGAACTCAGAGTTCTACGAGCAAGATTCCGAATGTCTTCTCGTGAACAATCTCGTGATATCCGAACAAGCTCCCAAAGAGCACCTCCACTAATCAAGTCCTTTGCATTCACTTCTGCAATATTTATAACCTTGGATTTTGAAGTTTACATGAAAGAATGTATATTTAGAAAAACTGAAAGATGATGAGAAGTCACATTACCATGCTGTGCCAAGTGGCATAGTGCAAGCTCAATGTGACGCCTGATTGGTGCTGCTTCATTATTAGCATTTTGTACTATCCACGGAAGGGCACCATCTTCTATCAAAAAAGATCTCCCACTTTTTATCCCTGAGAGAGCAAAATATGATTATAACAGCTACAAAATACCTCTTCATCTCGTTAAATATTTCGGTGGAAGTAAAGTGGAGAGCAAATTGACCATAATGGCTTGATTAAAAACATGAAATTCAACTTTAATTTAATCAATGCCGGACTTTTTTTCTTTTTTTTTTTGACATTGTAACAACTTTGTGTATTTTCTAATTATAACATAAAGTTTTAATATTTTCAGTGCTGAGAAATGAGAATCAAATAATAAGGAGGAAAGTAGACCTTGATTAGAAGCTCGAGACTCGCATTTTGCAAAGTTAGCGATTCCTCGTGCAACTTGGGAAAGGACATCAGGATGTCCACATCTCACAATTCCAAGTAAAGCCTTTATACCTCCCTGAGATCTGAGAGTCATCAATATTCTATCTGAAAACACGAAGACAAAATTATGAATGAACTTGAAAAGGATATATAGTAATGGAATATGAAGATAGCAATGATTTCAAATGCAAAATCTAAGTAAGCACCACTTTGAATATGCTTTAATGTAACAGAAACACCCGAATGAAGAATTCTCATTGACATGAAGCTAGGACAGGTTTTATACAATATGATGAAGTCAACTAACACATTTCATAAAGGAAATAGAAACACAGCTCTTGTTATGTCCAAAATAAGGTACATAAAAGTTTCGGCTTTACATGATTAATTCAAGCTAAACTAAATCCCTCTGCATAGCTAGATTGAAAGAGGTAGCATTTGCATAAAGTTTAATTGAGGGGTGTATCACCAAGGACGGCAAATTATTAGGATTAACAGGTGTTTTGATGAGCATTTGCAAATTAAATTTTATATGATCTATATAATGAAATTTGAGTTTGCTTAAATGTGGGTTAAAGTGATTTATGTTTAGATATTTTTATTTGAAAAATGATTCTATCATTAATAATGTAATATTATTGTTCGAGGGGAATGTTTATTTGCAAGAGCAACAAATTCATTTTTACATCAAAACCCACGTTTGGGCCAGAATCATGGTCATAAAAATTTTTCCAAACAAGATGGCAATTTCTCAAACCTACATGCACATGGTACAAATATATTTCGAAACAAATTATCGGTAGCCAATAATTATGAATACACCACCAACTTGACATCTTAAAGTAATTATCCCAATTGTATCTATGTGATAGCTAAAATTATATTTTCAGATATTTATCAACATAAATAAATGAAGTGCTAAAAAACAACAAATTATACCATTTCCACATAGATTAGCAATTGCCCCAGCAACCATTCGAAGAGTTTGTGGATCTTCAGCATCTGATGCAGTCATTGATAGCAGAGTAATTCCTCCTTCAGTCATAATAAGTTCTTGATTTGCTTCTGATTTACCACAAAGGAAAGGAGGACAATATCAATACTAACATTAACTAAATGCACAACCACAAATAATCTGAGCTAGTACCAAAGTATGAAGCAGGATCCAGTTTATCTAAAACATTAAAACAAAAAAACTACAATCAACATCACCATTCATAGCTAGATTGGCAATAGCCCCAGCAGCTACTCTGCGAACAGTTTCATCCTCGTATCTTCGAAGAAGCATCAGCAAGGAACTAAGACCACCAGCTTCAACAATTCTCTTTTGATTAGCCTCTGCATATTAGATTGAGACAAATCACTAAACAAATCATTCACATAACAAAAGACTCATGAGCATATAGCCATATACTACAACAGACCAGTTTCGTTTTTTGGAAGGCTTTAGTATGAAAGCACCAAAAATGTGGAAAGAACGAATAAATAGTCTGAAAGACAGGGACCAAGCGAAAACAGAGACTACACATTCATTTCAACATTCAATCAGACAAATTTTACAGAAAATTAACAGTGATGGGAAAAAAATTCCCACAAAAAAATAGAATTTTCCTGATGAATTGCAACTAATCCAAAATAGTCAAAGGCCAATATCTATCATGATTTAAAATATATATATATATATATATATATATATATATATATATATA